TAACGGTAAGTTTACACATTCTAATGATAATATCAAAATACATATATATAAATGTTTATATCATTTTTTTTCTAGAGTCAAGTTCAAGCAGAGTCAGCGCGATAACTGTGGTATTGCCCTGGGGTGCTCAAAAAGAGACGGTAAAGCCGCAACAAATAGGAGATATGGATCTAAGACCGGGAGAGTACGTGATGCGCATTCTTTTCGCAGAATTTACTTCGCAGGCGGAGAAAAAGATGGAAGCTGTTATGACAGAACATGTAAGCGACTATTATTGAAGCGATTGTCGTTGCAATAAACATTATTTAAATGCTTTATTTTCAGGAAAAACAACTGTCAAAAGTATTGCAAAGAGGAGAGGATTTACAATTCGATCAACTGTTATCGGCTTTCGGTTCTGTCGCCGAACATTGTTTACCGTCAATATTGAAAGCCCTTTTTAATTGGTACGAACGTCAGCTTGTTGACCAAGGTGGCGATCAAAAGAAACCTGCCCCTGGAAAGGAAGATCAAAAAGGGAAAAGGTAATGAGATAATAACAAGGTAATAAGTTAGAAACATTAATAACAAATATATTATATTTCAGTATTATGTATACAATAGTATCAGGAAGTGTAGAAACAGTGGAAAGAAGTGAAGCAGATCTCTTACAAGAGCGTAGAGATCTTGCCGTCGAATTTATATTTTGTTTAATGCTGATCGAGGTTTTACGTCAATTACCGTTTCATCCTGGACACGAGGATTTAGTAACATATATAGAAAATATCGCTTTTAAACATTTTAAATATAGAGAAGGGTAAGTAAGAACTGATACATTGTAATAGGAAAAAAAGATAAAATCTAATCAATATTTATATACATGTATTTTTAGTATACAAAACGAACCGAACGCAGCTAATATTCACATTATTGCTGATCTCTATGCTGAAGTGATAGGAGTTCTGGCGCAGTCCAGATTTATGTCAGTGAGAAAACGTTTTATGGTAGAACTGAAAGAATTACGAGCTAAAGAACCAGGACCTCATACTACACAGAGCATTATTTCTTTATTAATGGGAATGAAATTTTTCCGAGTTAAGGTAATCATCATATTCCGCTAATATAATATTTAATTTGTATATTATTTTGAATTTTGCATTATGTTTTACTACATGTTAAACTGCACAAAGTAACACTTTTAAATAATGCTTATTGTAAATTTTCAGATGGTACCAATAGAAGAATTTGAAGCATCATTTCAATTCATGCAGGAATGCGCTCAATATTTCTTAGAAGTGAAAGACAAAGATGTTAAGCATGCTTTAGCTGGCCTTTTTGTTGAAATACTCGTTCCTGTTGCTGCCGTAAGTGTTCCAGACCACAAGTTGTAATTCATCATTAAGTAATACTATTTGTAGTAATATTGTATTTTCTATTCTAGGCTGTGAAAAATGAAGTGAACGTGCCGTGTTTGAAGAACTTTGTGGAAATGTTGTATTCAACAACATTAGACATGTGTACAAAGTCTAAACATAGACTAGCGCTCTTCCCATTAGTAACCTGCTTACTTTGCGTCAGCCAGAAAACATTCTTTCTACAAAATTGGCATTACTTCTTAGCTATGTGTCTGTCGCATTTGAAAAATCGCGATCCAAAGATGTGTCGAGTTGCGTTAGGTATGATTAAAGTACAAATTTTATAGATGTAATATTTTTGGAGAAAGAAGCTAGAAACAAAAAGTAACATATTTTTTGCATCTATTGTGTTACAGAGGCTTTATACCGTTTACTCTGGGTTTACATGATACGAATCAAATGCGAGAGCAATTCCGCCACGCAAAGCAGACTGCAGAGCATAGTGAATTCCTTGTTTCCTAAGGGATCGAAAGCGGTAGTGCCGCGGGACACGCCGCTGAACATTTTCGTAAAGATTATTCAATTTATTGCGCAAGAGAGACTGGATTTTGCGATGCGTGAAATAGTGTTTGACTTGCTGTCTGTCGGTCGACCAGTGAAGATAATTTTAACTCCCGAACGCATGAGTATCGGCCTCCGAGCATTCCTCGTCGTAGCCGATAGCTTGCAGCAGAAAGAGGGAGAACCACCTATGCCGCGCACTATGGGTGTCTTGCCAAGTGGAAACACCATGCGTGTTAAAAAGACATATTTGAATAAAGTATGTATCATATACATAATTCTTATGGATATATCGAATATATCGAGTGGTATTTTCATGAATGTGTTTTTATGATTTAGATGCTAACAGAAGACACCGCGCGAAGCATAGGAATGTCTTCATATTTTCCACACGTACGCCGAGTGTTCGTGGATATCCTGCGCGCGTTAGACGTTCATTACGGCAGACCTCTCATGATGACCAGCACTCAGAATATGAACAAGGAGCCGGACGAGATGATCACCGGAGAACGCAAGCCTCGAATAGATCTCTTCCGAACTTGCGTCGCCGCCGTTCCGCGACTGATTCCCGATGGAATGACTGGTGCGGAATTGGTCGACTTATTGGCTCGTTTGACAGTACACATGGATGAGGAACTGCGTGCATTGGCATATCAAAGCTTGCAGACTCTAGTATTAGATTTTCCCGATTGGCGACAGGACGTCGTGCTTGGGTTTACGCAGTTTCTAGCCAGGGACGTGCAAGATACGTTTCCGCAACTTATTGACAACGGTCTGAGAATGCTGCTGCAATTGCTGACCAGTTGGAAGAACGCCCTCACGAGTCCCAGTATAAGATCTAAGGAACAAGCAGTGGATAATACGCGGGTCAATATACGAGTGGACGTTGGGATCAAGAAATGCGAAACGGGCCAGGTTTGCATTAATTTTTATTATATTGGAATTTGCAGGCAACGTACAAAATGCAATGTAAAATTTATTTCTTATTTACAGAAAATAGAACCTGTATCGAACATATTTTATCTAGTGGAAGGATTCGCCTTGGTTATGCTCTGCAATTGTCGTCTTTATCCTCGACGATTGGCTGTTCATATTCTTCGGGAAATTAAGCTTTTACTGAAGACTTTAGGTAATTATATTTACATGTATTGTATGTATATACGCAATCCATCACAATGTATGTCTTATATACATCCATCTTTTTAGGAGGACCCGAAGATGATCAACCAGTTATTGATGTGATCGATGCTTGCTGTCCCGCCGTCTTGGAAAAATGTTATCCTATGTTACCGCCAGCAGAGAAAGCAGCTGCTGCGTCTACATCTAACGTGGATTTGCAATGGATAGCCGACAGAAGTAGTTGTGTTTGGACAGCTGGTAATATTTAATTTGCCACACTTTTGATATGTAAATCATACATTACATTCATTTATATTTATTTTACGTTGCAGGCTTTCACGACGAAAACAGTACCAAGAGTTCTTCCTCGCTCAATCTAAATGGAGCCGATCCGTGGGCCAGTTGTCTATTTGCCTTTTTGGAAAAGGATAGAGTGCTTACGCTGTGTCCAAATGCCGTCGCTCATTCTTGGCCCATTGTCTTCACTCGTATAAACTCTTTGTTCTCGGTGGTGGATCCCACGTAAGTTTAACTCTCAATGTGTATATTATCTACTATTTAAATTTTGAAATAAAATTAACATTTCTGTCTTTGTATTTATACAGGCCGGTAAATGACAATCGAGCTTCGTTATTGCGCAGTTCGACGACAGTGAGAAAACCAGTGAACGAGAGAGATGTCTATATGCACATCTGGAAAAATTATCTGACCTTTGGATACAGAGTCGTGCCACCAGTGCCGAATCCAGTTGTCCGATGCGCCAGTCCGGATCTCAGTCTCAGGTAAGTTAGTCATATGAAAACTTACAGCGGGAGTTCAAATATATTGTATCATCTTATTATATATTATTTAATTTTCTTGTTAGTTTTAATACAGTATTCATGTTTATTATGAATCATTTAAGTACATATAATCGCGTGCATCGCTACACTCGCTATAAATGCAATTGACAGAGTTTGAATAAACGCGAGCAGTAAAGTATCTCATTCAAGCATCTGCATTCGAGAAAACGTGTGCACACGGTTTATGTTTATATCAATTACGTCTAGTCTGATAATATATTTCGATAAAACTTTGAATAACTATAAAAACTCACATGTTTAGCAGTAAATAATATATTAAAGCTTTAAGTGTCTATACGAAAAGTGAGTCACGGAAGATCAATAATCAACTTGGTATTAATTGGTGTTGGGTCATGTTTGTTAGTGTCCACTATTTCATACAGAAATATCTTACTTTATTCGTCTCGTGGAATGTCTGTCCGTTAAATATTTTACAGAATCGTAAAGTTTATATTCTTAATTTTAAACGTTAATTCTCTCTCTACACTGGCACAGTTACTGAATTATAATTTCGTAATGTTCTACATTAAATATTAAAATATCTAATGTTATATGTACTCACACGATATTCTCTATCTGATGTTGCACACATCCAGCAATGGAAATTCTTCTGTCGTATAGACTGGCACCAATTCGTATCAAATTCGCGCTTTGCATTCGGGAGCGGAATCCATACTTGTTCTGTCCTTTCTTCCATCCATGCATATACATACTTCGCTTTATTTTCCGCAACACGCTACATCTCTCGCATGCTGTCTCCTATCGTTGTCTCTCGTACATGTACATCTTCCTCTCTCTTCCTCTCTCTTTCTTTCTGGATATTAGAGTAGTAGTCTCTGAGAAGTAAATAATATCTGATACAAGGAGCATTGGTGGTACACTGTATTGCATACTCTAGTGGTCAGCATACGGTGGAGTTTGGTGTGTTGTGCATGAGTAAGGAGTTGAGTCAGAGCCTGGAGAATCTCGGCGGGGCGCAGACCCTGCCGGGTCGGTTCTCTGTACCGTCCATTTCCGGCATCTACACCCGGCATAAGCGTACCAGGTGAGCCTGAGATTAACAATCGCGAACAAACGACCATGCTTCCTTTGATGTCACCCGGGATTTAAACGGTCGTTGGTAATTCGCACCTTCGTACCTTTTGTAATATTAATCTCTATATTGAATCTATTTGTCTCTTCTTACTCTCTTAACGCAGCCCAGTTTGGTATACCCCCTTTTTTTTTCCATTGAACTTTCAGCTTGCGAACTCTCTCGCCACCCTAACAAGTTCTTTTCGCGCGTACTTGCGTATATACCACCCTTGCCTAGCCTTACGACCGTTCCCGATCGCTTCTTTTTCCGGAGATTAAACTGCGACCGGATATTCTAGAGCGCACAATTGTTAATTTACGAGCTTCGGTAACGTAACTGTGAACGAAACGTAGTGAAACGCAACAGTCTCATTTCCGCAGCTCCTCACCTGACAGTTTATCCGCGGAACGGGGCGATAACAAATCACCTGGCACAAACGCGAGTCCCGCGGCCTTGTACAAGCTGACCGTACCCTTGTTGAGATGCGAGGCCGTCGACGTCAGGGATGCCGCGGTGCAGGCGATTGGGAAAGTAAACGCCGATGCTTTAAAGTAAGTACATTACCGTCCGCGATCGCAAACGACGAGAAATAGATTAAACTGTAAGAAGATTCTCTTCTTGACACAGAGACTTGATGGAGGAACTGGTACCTTACATCCGGGAAGCGGTCGATCGGAAGCAGGAGAACATGAGACGGCGAAGAAGACGCGACGCTTTGAGACTGCAGCTAGTAAGAGTACTGGAATTAATTGCAGAGTATGGAACGTTCGGTATCTGGTTAGTTCATACATTATTTTGCACTTTGCTTCTCATTTTTTTACTCAACGGATTTTAAAAAATCATCTGTTTTCAGCCCAGCGGTTTTAGACCGTGAAACGCAGTCTTTACATCCGACATTCGTCGAATATATAGATGGTGCGCGCGTTTACTTAGAAAACGAGACCGACAAGGAAGCACCCGCTGTACGGGACATCAAATTGCACTTCTGCAACTTTATCAGGAAGATGATCAAGAGTTTTTCACGTAAGCGATTTTATTCCGATAATCCCGAATTTCGAAATCAAAATATGTGTAATGTTCTTTCAGAGATTTATTAATTATCTTTTTTTTTTTTACTTTTCTAGTGGAGATATGCTATACATTGTTAAAGAGGGACTTAAGAAGAAATCTATTCATGCTCTTCGCTAGTTGGGCTGGTGTTTACGGCAGGCCGCTTACGAGTATATCGTCTATGCAAGAAGAAGAAAAGTCTTGCACGGAATTACAACTCTCAGCCTTGCAAGCTATGAGTGGATTACTCTGTTGCGGTTCCTGTTTCAATCCGCAGTCGCTTTCGGAAGAGGGTGCGATTTTGTATCAATGGCTGGACTTGTTACTGGCCAGTAAAGATGAAAAGGTAAGTTTTATCTCGTATAAGATTTTATCTCTAAACGCGTGCGCGCGTCATTAGCATTCAAGATTATTATGCAAAACTGCAGTTAATATTCTATTATATGTTGGATATATTAAATGTTAATGCGTTATATGTATTAATATTAGATCCCCATATAATACGGGTTTATATAACACGGACTCGTATAACATAATTGGAAAATTTTAATATTTGTTTGTTTTAAAACAAAATAAAAAAAATATTTTACTGTTACATCTTTAATATTTATTTTACATTTTTTATAATAAACCGTTACATCTTTATAAATATGTGTTCTTCATATGCATACATAATCCATAGATGTATGATCTACTATGTGACGTATATCACGTACTCATATAACGGATTCATATAACACGCAACGCATCCCCCGCATTATACGGGGTTCTATTGTATTTGATTTCACATCTTTCTATCTATATCATATCTCTTGTTTCAGATTTATACGCTTGCACGTGAAACCGTCGTGTTACTGCTCGAGGGAAATCCCGATATTGGTACACTTTTGGATTGGGTGGTGGATCGATGTTACACTGGCGCACCGCAGGTGGCCGATGGTTGTTTTCTCGCATTGGCAACAATTTTTAGCGCCAGGTACGCACGAATCAAAAGTAAATATAGAATAAATATTTTATACAAAAACGTTTATTGAAGTAGTGAAGTATCGCGTAAAAGAGTCACGGTGCGATCTCGCTCCGCGTGTACTTAGCGCGAGACACTACCGTGTCTCTTGATATTAGAAGAAAATACGATATATACATAGCGAGTAAAGACTGCGAGACATATATTTCTTGACAGAGTCGCGGATATAAGCCGCAGATAGAATAACAAAGCTAATAAACAGTATGACAATCGTGAGTTTATGATTTTCTTTTCTTTAGGGAGTATCCTTGCGACCATTACACGAGTGTCATCAACGTAACATTAATGAATACAGGATGTCCTCGCGCTCCAGTTCACGATGCAGCGCTTCAACTTCTTCAACTACTGGATCAACGCTTCTTCGGAAATGTAGGTCCGCTTCCAGCTACAGAACTCGAAGCTGGTAAGCTTATAATCCATGTTTTCATATATGTGCACCGTAATACTATGTCGGTACATTACACATAATTCTCTGATTGTCTTCTAACATGCATTTACTCAGTTGTTTGAAACTGATGTTTTATTGTATCATAATTCTTTATTCACTGGTAGCTTTTGCGTCTCCTGAGAGTTTTTCTGTTGCGCATTGTCGGCAAAGTGCGGCCGTTTTGTTGAGGTGTATCTGCGCGTGAATTCTGAAACTGTAAAGAAACGCAAGATTTTATTAAATTGAACAAACCTGATCATATATATATATTTTTAAAATTTCTCAATCAATACAATATCTGCGCACATATATTTTGTCATTATGTTGTCTTATTATAATTAGATAATTAAGTGCTTACCACACTGTTTTCCATGACTCGCCATCTGCATGAGAGTTCCACTTCTCCTAGTACTTGAACGCTTTGTACACATGTGAACCATCTCTCTGCGAAAATTCTGTCCGCTCGCGCAGTAAAGAATGAAATTTATTCCGAAACTCGTGTCGAATAATAATTGGCACATTTGTTGCGCCAAAATAAGCCATATCACTGATTTGCTGTTATCCTGAATTTAGATATATAGTGATTATTAACATTATTCATTAGCGTACAATTTTTTTAGCAGTACATTAAAATTTATCTAGATATAAGCAGTAATATCATGAGTCAATAAAGTATTAACAATGGGGAATAATATATTGTGGTATATAGCTGTTTAAACATGAAAAACATCTGATTTTGCAAAAGTACCGTACAGCGTGAGAGTGTATTAAATTAGATTCGATTAAACATCAAAAATTATAAAAAAATGTATGAAATTCAGAAAAAGTTTAATGATACTACTTTATTATTCAGAATTCGCTTTTTAGAGCAAAAGTATTTGACTTTAACTATATTTAACATTAAATATCGATACGTACGTAGAGGAAAGCGACCACCCTGAGAACGAATGCAGGCATATTGAGGCAGAAGAACGCAGTCGAAACGAGCAGAAGCATTTTCGTGACTTTAGTCTGCGGCATTCTGTCCCGTGGAGTATGAGCCCTCTCGTTGGAAATATTGGATTCTATAGTCAAAGTTCTTCGGATGTGGTCGAGCTTGTAGATGTTGCGCGCTATCAGAGTATTGAAGATCACTATCAAGGTCAGAGGCACGGCAAATGTCATGACAATATCAAAGGTGTTGTAAGCGATTGCCCAGGACTCCCAGTCTTTGTCCAAGCCACAGGTCGAGTTTTTATCGATTTTGGAGAACCAAATCACTGGGCTGCTCAGCAGAATCGCTAATGCTGTTAGTCCCATCACTGTCATCTTCGCTCGGGCTACTGTACACAAGATTTGGCGACGAAGCGGCCACCTGACTGCCATGTATCGCTCAATGGTGAAGGCTACTACGAGCCACACGCTGAGGAAGCTACAGAGAGTGCCGAGATAGACGAAGAACTGGCAGAAGCCATGCCGATTGAATAGATTCACGTGCACCATTTTTAGCCAGGTCACGAAAACTGCTATCAGGAAGCCGCTATCGCTTATTGCTAGCGCTCCCAAGTAAATGCTGGATGAGGAATAACGTAGTTTCGTGCCGAAGAATACGCACATGGACAGACAATTGCCCAGCAGGCCCAGGAGTACGAGAATCGGCGTATAATACTGTTGGATTTGCTGTAAGAAATGGTCGGCTTCCTGATAGGGTCTGTATACCGTTGTAATGTTGCTACTATTCTCAGCCATCATCTTCACGTGTTGATCTCAAGCTGCCATCAATGAGAAGAAAAGCGAAAGGCAGTATAACCGCGCCGAGCATAACAGCTTGCGTCATGCATGATAATCTGAAAGAGCATTAGTGTCTCATACAGAAGAAGATAGAAAAACAGAGGAGGAGGAGAGAGAGAGAGAGAGAGAGAGAGAGAGAGAGGGAGGATATTCTAAATATCTCGCGTTTTCTCTGGATCATCCACATGGGGACTGAATTTAGAAACTGAAGCAATATCAGCGGTGGTCGTTTGATGTTCGAAAAGCCAAACAGTTATTCAACGTTAAAAATCAGAAATTATTCAACGTTAAAAGTCAGAATTTTTTCAGCGAATTAAATATTCATATTTGGAAGAGATCATAAAATTTACAATTTTTTAATTAATGTAAAGCATCTCTAATTTAACTACTTTTAAACGGATTTTGTTAGAATTAATTTACGTAACTTCTCTAGTCGTATTGATGTCGATATTAGAAGACAGAAAGCGACCAGTGATAACTGATATATTCATATGTTTTTCAATTATTTCATTGTCGTTTGATTAACACAATCACTTTGCATTCTTATCGTATGTCACGAGATATAGTCTTTGCGTATTACGAAAACAAAAAAAGTTACGGGGACCTTGCTGCTTATCGCTCGCAGGAAATCCTTCGCGCAATAGATATACGTTAATAAATCATTATTGTGCAACTGTTGATTCAGATTATGTTACATATTTATTCGTATGTTACATGAATCTGTTATACATTGTCTGAAATTTCATATTATTGATTTATTTATTGAAATAAAGTAAAAATTAAAACACAAATTCGACACGCGTTTTCATCGATATTAATTTTATTATATAATTAAGAACTATCTTACAATGTGATGACAACTGCATAACAAAAATTCTTATCTTTTCGTGTTATCGCGAAAAATCCGATATAGTTGGCAATCTCGGTGAATGCTCGTTTTTTCGTAATATAACTAACAGTAATAGTTCATTTTCTGAATGTAAATAATTACCGTGGATATGATCACAAGAGAATTTTGTTGATATGATTTCGTATCTTTGGTAATGACGGAGCTTCATATTTACTTCATAGTTACACTTCTGAACAGTACGCGTTAGAAACCGGCGAATCGGAAAATTTTATGTTTCTCTCTACTTAGCTCGTTTCACATATCTTTCGGGCCACACAATTCTATAGCACTTTTATAATGATTTTAATGATTTATGACCGAACCGTTGATCCAAATATAAATGGATAAAAATAAAATGTATATCGCTTTGGTATAACATTTTTAAATAATTTCTATAATATAAAAGAATATAAATCTTTTTATAAAATATAATAAAATACTTTTTATCGTGCCGAAATAATTATAGAAAAAAATAAATATGTAAAAATATATAAAAAGATACTACAATAGAATAGAACTAGATTCACATGAAACATTTTTAAGAGAAGAAAAGAACGAACATTTTTCTATTCTTCTCTACATTCTATATCTTTTTATGAACATGACGTAAACAGTCTTTAGTTTTTTTATTTGAATTAGATTATAAAAAGAACTCGTCAAACAGGAATGTCTTAAATATTAATTAATGCGTACCTGTATGTTGATATTCAATAAATGAAGCTACATGTTTTAGTTATGAGACGTGCGGACGCAAGTCATTTATTGGACTGCCATCCAGATTCTAAAGATGATTTTGTGACCGGGTGCCGAGAGCTCCTTTTAACCGCGGTCTTCCAACACTCGAGTGCTTCAATTCATATATATCTCTCACACATCAACGATCTTAACGTTTTGTAAATATAAGATGATCCCTCCCGACACTTAGTTGGCACGGCAACGTGCGGTGCCGGTGCGAGATTCTTTCGTCAGCCACTCGTTAATATTATTTAATGAGATGTTTTTTATTTCAGACAGTCGCGCGACACTTGATTTTAATACCGCGACTTATTAACAGTAGATTGATTAGGCCTAAGTAAGATCCGGTATATGAATCACGCTATAAGTATATCAATCACGTTAATAGCAGCGAGACATTTTGCTTTTTTTTATTTTCAAATGGGAAGCAACAAGTTTATGAGTGCACTTAATGATAAGAATAATTTGGATTTGGTAGTTGGTGTACTTAGTTTTCGAGACACTAATGTATGTAACACTAATGTATGTAACACTTTCGGAGAATATATTCGAGTGCCGTCTCAGCTATTTCTGCTGGATGCTCCGACGCATCCATGGCTGATAAAGCTCGCTGCATCCAGTATTCCGGCTTCTGCGCATCAAAGTAATGTACAAATTCCCGCCTCTTCGCGACGCACGTCAATTTGCCGTGTCGCGAGGAAGAGATTCATATTTTCGTAATTTACACATTTTACCCATTAGTTCCTTTTTGTTTCTACAAACTGTTACGAGATGTGTAACATCGACGTTTATGTTAAAAAAAAAGAGTTGTAAAAAATTTTTATTACATATGAAATACAATGTCATATTTTACTAAAGATTTTTTACCCGCAAGAATGTTTTTTTTTTATAAAGAGTTATGAGCATGTGAACTAGTTTTTATCACGTTATTTCGCCTATTAATGCAAAATAAAATTAATAATCTTAAATCGATAGTAATTATTACATTATATACATTATAAGCAATCATACATTTGCACAGCTTTTGTTTGCAGCTTTTAAATTTCAATAAAATTTAAAAGCTTCACGTTACTATTGACATATATATTTGAATTGGAACATACCGGTTCAAAGAAATGAATTAAACTTTTCTTATATGAAAAAAAGATTATATGCAAGTAACGCGCCCTTTGACATATCATGTATAAAATTCTGTTTGAGAAGCATCCGTCCAAAAGGAAATAAGTTTCCATGAATGCAAAGAAATTGTAGCATAACGAGACTCATTCTCTTCCTGCAAAGAGAATATATTTAATTTGCCGGAAGGAAAAGCATGTATACAGTTATATATAATAAAATATACTTTTTCTGTAAAATATATACTTTCTCTGTGATCAGGATGATCGTTGTAACACCAAGGAATTACGCAATGTAAATACATGATAAATGTCAAATCATATTGATTTGGTATTAATTAATTATTATTGAGAAAATAATCGTTGACCTTAAAGCGCTCAACAAGTTTTACTGCTAAATGTCATCGGTATTGATAACGATAATAATTATTAGGCAAAAAGTTTTGTAGGTATTCATTGTGCTTTTTCGCGCTATCGTATTTTCTTTACAGTTCGTTAATTAAATGGTTTTCATTTATAAAATCTTTTATCAGCTATAGATTTTCAAATGAATTCATTCTTTTTTAATGGAAATTTATTAGAAATTTATTAATTAAAAAATTTTTACAATTAAATAGAGATAAAACCATCTCTTTGGTCGAGTTCGATCTTTGTAGCTTGCAATATTTTTGCTTGAATTTAAATACTTTTTTCCATTCAAACTGCGCACCAATTATTTATCGGTCTTAAAACATGGTTTTTCGTTGGAACAATAAATTTAACATATTTAAAGTTAATAATTTAACTTTTTTATATTATTAAGCACTTTAAATCACTAAAGAATTTATTGCGAAAAATATCGCGCAACGTGACGGGCGTCTTTAATAATTCAATCACTGAGGCATGTTATTTATATTAAAAAAATTTTTTTTTGCACAATTTTTTAACATTACAACAAACAGATAAATAAAACTTTCTTTTATTGAATATATAGTGAAATTTTAACTAAGTCTTCATTCTATAATGAAATTTTAGAGCAATCTTGGGTAATTAATAGGGTATTTAACTTCCTTATTGATTCAATAATGTAATTTGGTATTTTATCTGGATTTCTCAGGCCACAACGATCCTCTTGCAAGCTCTGCCGCTACTGTGACTTCCGGCGGGCCAGGTCAACAAAGTAATCCTGTAGGTGAGATTTCTTCCGGCGGCACGATCAGAGGTGGCACATTGGATGTCCTCTTGTCGACCACTTATTGTCGCAGCCAAATGTACCTTTCACGTCAACTGGCTCAATTACATCCGGAACTCACGATGCCGATGTTCAGCGGTAAATGGACTTTTCATGTTTTGTTAACACTTCACGCCTGAAATGCGTCACGTTGTCCCAGAAACTCAGCATGTCAAGATTTTGAGACAACACGACACATCTCGATGAAATTTTTAAGAAAATTATTGCTTCCAATTTTAAATCAAAATAAAATTTTATGTTTTGCTTTGATATTTTTGAAGTAATTATTTTAATGTAGTTGATTAAGAATACTGTATTTTGTAATTATTTTATAACTGTAATATCGTGGCACTCAATGTCTTACTATTATAATATTGATGTTAATTATAATTCGAGGAGGAAGGGATGTATGATGAAACACAATTAACAACTTTTGTGGTCTATTGAATGCTTCAGTTATAGAGAACAGGCTTTAGAATTATTTCCTCGCAATTGAAACTTTGTCTGCTCCTTGTAATTAAAATGAAATATGTTCTAAATATGATCTAATAACCTTTATTTAATATACACGACGGTATATATGTTTCCGTACTGCAGTTTAATACGCAGTTAAACATTAAAAAATGGATGCAAAAAAAATACAATGTAGAACATATTAATCGTAAGTTATTAAAAACGTTTCATGCATGAAAATTGCGGTTTTTCTCCTCAAAGCTCATGGTTTTTTTTAATTGAAAAGTAGCGTATTTATTATATACTTACATTTTATTCAGAACCATAAGAATGAAAAAAGACACTCAAGAAAAACGTCTCTTATATAAATGATAATTTTAATATTCCTTAATATATAAAATTTTTTATTTACTGGCGCAACAGTTAATATTGATCCCTCGATATATAGAATTTTATTTGTTTCAGCAGTTAATAAACACGCAAGAGATTTTCATGCATTTATAAAAATAACAATTATGTTAATTAAAGTGAAAGTTGGATTTTCGACGTGACTTATAAATTTACATACAGAATGCTTGCTGGTAAAAAAATTGTTTTTATGCTTTTTATGAGCTTGGACATATGGAAAAGTCATATGCACTTTATTAAACTTTTATATTACATTGGTAAATAATATGGTAGAGTTATATTCTCGGTTATATTAACGGAAAGGAAATATTGCAAGGGTATTGCTTACGCACGGAAACGTGTAATTACAATGAGGTGGTCATAGAATGTTCGCGGGATTTAACAGAGTTATCACAAGTATTTGTATAAATAATTTATCACTCTAGAGGGATGCTGTCAATAACAATCTTCTTGTGCCCGCGTTTTTATCGATTGTTATTCCAGAGGCGGGTCGCTATCGCGTAAATATTACCGCGCATCTGTTTTGACTAATCGAACAGGCTCTCATTATATGTAATTTAATATCGGAGAAACGTCGGCAAAAGTGATAAATAGTAGAGCTTTTCTATACTGATAGAATTGTGCTGATAGATTATAAATGTATTCATGTATACCTGCACATTTACTTAAATACATGTCATCTTGAGTGCAAGAATATTAATTATTAGTGCCATAACTTAAACGTATAGAGATTCGCATGTGTATCGCGATATCGGCAAAGTAATGATTTACGGTGTAAAATTCATTAAAGAAGAGTACTCTTCTTGTTTCATTCAGTTATATTTGATGCGATTGAAGAGCTCAATAAAGTAAATTTAATTAATTTTTTTAAAGAGAATTTGAGAAAATGAGATTGGATTAAAAATGTAAAATTAAATGTGAAATTTAAAATTTTTCAAGCTCTGCTTATGTAAAAATTAAAAATCAAAGACTTGTAATGTTCTTGAACTAGAAATGTCGCATTGTTCGCGGAATTCGACTTCTTAATTAAACCTAGGAATAATGTAGGCTGATGGAAGGTTGACCGTGATCTGTCTGTTTAAGAATTTAACCTTTTAACTACAATCGCAATTGTTAATGAATCACAAGACGCATAAAGTTGCAGCCTCGTTTACATGATGGATCGCTGCCCTCCGCTTTAATTTCGTGACGCCTGCTTGACGTACTGCCAGTGTCATATACCGCGTTAAAGGGGCGAAGAGGCTCTTTAAAAAATAGCGGAGGACCGATGCGCGACGAGAGAAAAATATAACGATGAAAAATAATTTCATTGTGCGAATTACTATTTTGCACGTTTCCGCGGCTAACCAGCTTACATCCGTTCGCTTTGACACGTTCGAAGCGGCGAACACTTTGCTCCCGGGAACGAATGGTGTAACGTAAAACTGCAATTTTATCTCATAAAACCCTCTTGTACGTGATATTGCACCCAATAGCAGCATGAAGAAGAAGAAATAAAAAATGCATTTCAACTCAAAGAGTGCATGTCGAATCTGACAGTTATATTCTAGATATAATTAGAAAAAATTCAATATTCGATTCGAGCGTTCTCTTCACAACGCTTTTTATAAACTAAAATTTATAGAGTTTACAGTTACGTTTTTCAGAAATATTGGAAATCATCATTAGTTTTAAAGGAAATTAAAAGAGATTATTAAACGCCAATAAAATTGATAATGATTCTATTTTATTTAAATATATATATTTATTTATTTATAGGATAAAATATTTTGAACGGATTAACCGTAAATTGGCCGTATGTATGTATATTAATTATAACAACGTATAAACATACAACATGTAGGTATCGTATTTTCAAAACGTGGATGAGAGCCTGTATTAATCACAAGCTCATCCGCTTGCAGTAGATTAAAATTTTTAGAGATATACAAGTTAACGCATGGATTCACCAGAGTGCGGCAAATCTCACGATTTAGTTTAATATGCTACTTGTAAGGATTTTAAAGCGGTATTAACTGAACAAACAATCTTGTATTTTGTACACCGAGAATCATGTCACGCAAAAGAATCACAAAGGAGGATACGCTTCGTGACAATTGTTTGATACGTTAATATCTTTGAAATTCAGATTGAAACGCGACGCGTACTAGCTAGAAACAAATGCAGATATAATTGTAGGTGAACATACTAATTTCGCTATGTAATTTCGCACACACACACACACGCGCGCACGCGCGCGCGCACTCAGCAAATTATTAGGGATGTCATTTACGAATATCGATGAAAATATCGAATGCCCTTCCACGTCTAGCTGCTTTAAACCGGCACGTTAAATTACGCTATTACGCATATAATGCAATATTGGGGATGCGTTCGACCGTGTATGGAGTAATTAAATGCGAAATGGGAATCCGGCAAGTGAAAGAAAGGGAGAGGGAACAGTAATGCAGCCCACATTAAATTCATTCAAGCTGCAAAACGGTCGGTGTTTAAATATTTCCAAATCGTGAGAGGAGATGAACGATGAGATACTCGGATGTACACATGCATTATGCGCGTATGAAACGCATTACGGATGAAATTTTATACCTTGTATATTTGAGTTAAGCTGGATGAGCTTGGCTATGAAAAAGACGTGCTTTTACATATTGTCGGAAAATTGCAATAATAAAGGGAACAAGGGAAATAATTTGATATAATAATTCGTTAAATCGTGGATTTATAAAATTTATAGCACCAGTAATGCTATAATATGTATTATTTTCTTCCTTTTTTTACATGAAAGCGGATTACACGCTTCCGTGTACAGTAATAAAAAAAAAGCAGTACTTGTGCACATTTCTCTTGATATAATTCTACCACATTATTTACAAATATAATATAGATCGATAATACAACGTATTATTAATATAATTGGACCTAGTAATTCTTAGAAATTGATACTCAATTTATATGTTTCAGAAATTACACATCGGTTTCAAACGGCCCGCAGAGAAGTTCGGCAACTGCTACTGCAATATTTGTTACCTTGGTTGCACAACATGGAATTGGTCGATCCTAATGTACCGCCGCCGTCCAATCCCTTGAGTTATTATCAGGTGAATGAAGTTTATTATCGTGATCAACTTTGAAATAGCAGCGCAGCATTTTGCTTTGAAATTTTAGGAGTCTGTGCTCTTTGCTCTTTTGCTTTTTGGATATATAGTTTAATAGGGGTAATAAACTCAGAGAGAAAAAACAAGATTGATACCCGGCGCCTCCGAGATCACTTTTTGCCTCCTTTCACTAAAAGTGGATCGCAATCGTGGTCCAAAATAATCCCGCCGGTGATCCAGATCATACGGGGGGCGTAGCTCAGATGGTAGAGCGCTCGCTTAGCATGCGAGAGGTACCGGGATCGATACCCGGCGCCTCCAACATTACTTTTTTTTTTTTTCGAATTGTTTCACCGAAAATAGATCACTTTTCTGAACTCGATTGATCTTGCTGCAGAATTGCATTATCAGGGAGCTTAGCTCAGATGGTAGGCAGCGCATGGCGAGAAGAGCTTTCTCGCATTTTTAAAATACATCCAGCCGCGTATATAAAAGCAGACCTCCCTGCGAAGCAAAAGGCAAATTCGGTTTCGAAACCTCGTTATAGAATTTGCATGCTAAGCGAGCGCTCTACCATCTGAGCTACGCCTCCTGATAATGCAATTCTGCAGCATGATCAATCAAGTTCAGAAAAGTGATCTACTTTCGGTGAAAGAATTAAAAAAAAAAAAAAAAGTAATGTTGGAGGCGCCGGGTATCGATCCCGGTACCTCTCGCATGCTAAGCGA